TGTTCAATGTTTCTTGAAAACATTACCCACTGTAGTATGTGACGTGTGAATAAACTCCAACTCTGTATCAACAACACTGTTGTGTAACTTCAGTTAAATACTTGTATGTGTGTAGATTAGAAAGAGGTAAGATAAAGGATCTGCAGTATTTTATGAAGTATTCATCGTACGAAGGTCAGTTTTATACAAGTAGAAGTGTGTATTTACCTGGTAGTAGGCTGTCAGTAATGGCTACGACTCTCTATTTGGACTGGTAGATCTCGGCAGACTGGCAACTTTAAAAGTAGCTCTTGGTTCAAAAAAGGTTGGGCACCCCTGGTCTACAGACTTAACTTTACATATAGAACCTCAAGAGAACACTACAAACCTTTTAATATAGATTTGATGCAAAGATGATCAATGTCTCCAATGCAAGTGCAGTACCAGTGAAAGTGATCGCGATGAGTTAATGAAGGTACATGAGGCCTGCTGGCGCTCTTCTGACTGACCTAGTTTGGAAAACCTTTGATATGTAAAACTTCAGATAGGTATAACTTCAGGTTACTCGCCTTCAGGGAAAACCAGCTCTCAAAATATTCCTACAAATATTAAAACATCAAAGTTGTGTTCAGCTAGTTCTAACATTTGACAAGTACAGCTGGCATATAGTCGATACACCTGCATTCAAATGGAAATCATAGTTCGCACCAGCAAATGTTTGGAATGATTACTTTTGGGATGTTTTAGAAGTTTCTGCAGTTTCTACTGATTTGGTTCTTTTTTAATAATAAATCACATGGAAATGGGGATCCGATATCCAGCTGGTTATTTTAATGGTTGTTTTTTTAACACCAGACAGACACTTTTTCCACTTTAAGTGTATGATGACCTTGTTGGGAGAAGTCGTATAGTGTGTGTGAGATTAGAGAACATCTGCCTGTAACAGCTGCAGCAGACACCCAGCAGGCCGCCATGTTTCTGATCCGATTGCTCCCTCTAGCTGTGATGTTTGGAATGACACTGGCTGTTCAGTTGTGAATCTGACTTCTTTTGCAAAACATCGTGAATGAGAAACTGAAAACGGGTGTAGGGTGTTGCAAGTTTGTAAAGCATGTTATTGTTTATCTCTCAGGAAAAAACTAAGTAAAAATGAAGGTTGTTATATGCCGGAAACCCTACTGTGTGCATCACAGCCACTGCTTATTTGCAACGTTGGAAAGGTAATAATTGCTCCTTCAAGACTTTTATTGGATTTCTTATTTTAAAATGCTGCTTTTCTTTTGGGAAGTGGACTTATAAATGTGTGCTTGTGTATTCTTTGTAAGTTTTGCCTTTAATCTGGACTGTACCTTGACTGTTGTAATGCTGTTAATCCCCCCTGAGTAAGGTATGAAAGGATTTGTGAAAGTGTGAAGCCCTCTGACATACAGTCATGCACATGTAGCTCACAAAAAAGAAAGGAAGATTATCCACTTTCTGTGTAGCACATTCTTCCTGTTTCAATTGACTTCATGTTTAATAAAACACAATTAAACAATAGCTCTGTCTGCCTGCCTACCGCATATCGTTTGTTTATCGATGCATGAACATGATATCGGCAAGTGTTCCACCATTACCAAATAATGTCCCTGCCTTTCATTCAAGTTTCACTTTTTTTTTTACTTTTCAGAAAAGAGCTGGTGAAGTTCCTGTGCAAATTGGATAAGAAGCTTGTTTTGGCCGTTTCTATAATAACAAACAGAGAGAAGTGAATTGCTTTCAGCGGATTGGCCAGACGGACCCTGGATGTTGCTGCCGGTGAGTGTGCGACTTATCTCTGTAAGCGCATTGTCCTCCTTTCTACGGCTGTCAGACTGAGCAATGAAGCTCATTCATACAAAGCATAACAAACTAATATTAAGTAGTAGTGCTGGGCGGTATACCGCTTCATACCGAATACCGGGTTGTGTGTGTGTGTGTGTGTGTGTGTGTGTGTGTGTGTGTGTGTGTGTGTGTGTGTGTGTGTGTGTGTGTGTGTGTGTGTGTGTGTGTTTCACCTGCAGCAGCGTCTGTGCGATCTCAGGATTCTCTGGGCTGTCAAAGTGCAGCATCTGGGAGCCCAGGCCGTAGTAGTAGGGCCCCATCTTGTGCAGATCCACCACGTTGGGGTCAGCGTTGAACACGGTCCTCCAGCCCTCTCTGTACACCTTGGGCAGCTCCACGGACAGCACCCTCCTCTTCTTCTCGTACAGACCCTTCGACAGCCACAGAGGAAGCTCCATCTTTGTACCCTGAGACATCAGAAATAGTCCTCAGAGGGGGGAGTCATTGTGAAGACCCCTTCTCCCTGGGGTGCAGCTGCATAGGTTACGTTTGTTTTGTGATGCCGACTTTAAAACCAGGAAAAGACACTTAACGATATCTAATCTCATATCCTGGTACCAATATAATACCAATTTATATATAATGACCACCACCAAACACATTTCATTATGCTCAATTATTTGTAATGTCACCGCTGGACTCCTTGATGAACTGTGATGTAACCACTAAAGTTGTAATGACAATGACAACGTGAAGCGTTATTAGTTTTCATTTCAAGTTTTAGCATTTTCTATCTTAGTTTCCTGATTTGTGTCCTCGCTATTGATTGTTGTTGTTTATTGTGAGTGTAATCATGGGACGTGTGTAATGACAGTCATGCCTGCTTTAAAGGCATTACATTCTTTCCAGAGGTGGAAGAAGTACTCAGATCTTGTACTCAAATAAAAGTAGAAGTACCAGAGTGTAGGAATACTCTGTTACAAGTAAAAGTCCTGCAATACAAATGTTACTCAAGTAAAAGTACAAGTATTAGAATCAAAATATACTTAAAGTACCAAAAGTCACACAGTCACAGTCACACACAGTCACACACAGTCACACACACACACACACACACACACACACACACACACACACACACACACACACACACACACACACACACACACACACCTCTATTGGGGCTACTTAGTTATTTCTAAATACCTTGGATGAACATTAAAAACGATCAGGGCAACATTTTCCTCAGAGCTTTACTCACCTCCGGTATGTCGTGCGAGTCACTCGACTTCTCCAGGAATCCCAGCCGCGGGAAGCTACACTCTGTTCGGATAGGAAGTCTCTCATGTGAGAGCAAAATATCGTCAAGAGACAAAAAGTTCTCCTCCATACCCACCCCAGGTTTTACTGGTAAATATGACTGTGTGTCCATTTTCTGCTCAAATTAGGCCAAAAGTAGCTTTATGCCAAATTATATAATCAAAATATTGAGCAGAGGTCTCTCCTGTTGTGTTTTCAACTCTTCCTCTTCGCTGTTTTGGCGCCATGGAATGTTGACCAATCAGAGAGCGACGCTGTGACAGCCAGACGAGAGCAATCAATTCAATCTTCTTCTTCTTCTTCTTCTTCTTCTTCTTCTTCTTCTTCTTCTTCTTCTTCTTTTGTGTTTATTGGCGGTTGGCAAACCAACTTGTAGGTGCCACCGCCACCAACTGGACTGGAGTGTGGACAAGAGACTATGCAGAAAACAATAAAAAAAGAAAGAAAATAACCAAAACTCTATTACTTTAAATGTATCGATTTCTCTTAGAAACGTAATAATCTCACAATACATATTGCCTGATGTTTTCCCTAACAGCCCTGATAGCGAAAACTCATGATGTTTTGCTTTCTTGAGTGTCTGGTGTCTGGTCTTTTCTCTGAGTACTATGTTTCCTGCAATGCAGTAAAAAACATGTTCAACAGTTTCTGGCTGGCTACAGTGTATACACTTTCCGGTTGGATGCTTTCCAATTATATTTAATGTATGATCGAGACCTGTATGACTTATTCTCATCCGAGAAATTACATTTTCTTCCCTTCTTTTAAACCCCACCTTCCTTCCATCCCCCACATACCTTTGAATTGTATAAATATGTCTTCCTGTATTACTAAGTAAGGTCCCAATGTTCTTGCCATGTTGCATATTTCTGTATGAATGTTTTAACCTCCGCTTTGCTAAGTGGAACTTATATGTCTGTGTTCATATTCTGAGTGTTTGTTTCAATAGAGTCTGTATGCAGACCACAGCAAGGAGGCGGATCCTAAAGGGGGTGGATCCTATAGGTGGCGTTTCCTAAAGGGTTTATTCATTTAT